CATAGACACAGGCATGCCAGGACAGGGCCAGGTCATGTTCCCCCCAGTGAATCTGCCTCATTCAGGGGCACCCCCGAGATATGTGATGCATTTTAGGCAGGGTATGGGGTGTGCAGCCAGAGAGGCGACTGCTGCTCCAGGCTGGCTCTGCAGAGGCACAGAGGGCCCCATGGCAGTTCATTTGGCTTTCCCTTCCTGGGGTATCCCCCAGCTCAGTTGGGGGACAGGGGCACATTGGGGAAGGAAGGGGTGCCCACTAGGGGCTTCTGGGTGTTGCATCTTGAATGGGGAGGAGAACTGGATCCAGAGTCTAGCATGTCCAGGGCCCTGTAAGCCAGGCCTCAGTTTCCCAATTTGTGCAGGAGGGTGACAGGTCATGGCCCTGTTATTGGCACAGCTCTCCCTCTTCAATGACAACAGGCGTTCATAAGGAACAGGGCCCTGTGGCTCTGGGGACACCCAGTGTGAGGAAACTGATGTGAGGGCGAGGGCCCAGTTCGATCTCCCTCCTTGCCCCACTGCCACCTTCCCCGATGCAACAACTGGGGAGGCTCCATTTCTTCCCTTCCTGTCCACAGGGCAGGAAGGGCTGCTGTGGGTGGCGCAGAGCGCCAGTCTTCTCCTCTGCCCGCCTGGCCTGGCCCCTGGCTGACTAGCTGACTGTGCAGGTAGCCCCAGGCCGAGAGACAGCTTGAGCAGTTATCACGCCAGCAAACCCTGTGGAGAGTGAGGGCCGGGAGGCCTGCTCCTTCTGCACACAAACCCAACCCTGGACATGTTCACCCAGGCCCAGGCCCTTCACCACAGGCACTGCCCAGACACGGGAGGGGGCACCTTGGAACAATGGGAGTGGGGATCCTAGGTCTTGGCCACTGGGTCCCACAAACAGCTTTGTGCTTCCCCACCCCTCACTGGCTGACCCCTCTGAGGAGAGGCAAAGGCTACCACCACGGGATGGGCTGGCAGCTCTTGTTATCATTCAGGGGAAGGAAGGTTATGGATCAGGAGGTTTGCTTGAAGCACTGGCAGAGCGAACAGGCCAGTGAAGTCCAGGTGACCAAGGAGCTCCTCAGAGGGGAGAGGAGGCTAGGACCCTGGGTTCTGGGAAAAGGAGGCGGCCAGGAAGGGTGAGCTCAGCACTGGGGCATGGCGGCTGCCACTGTGGCTGGTTTTTTCCCCTAGAAATGAGGGTGAGAGCAGAGGTGGCAGCACCTCCAGAGGAACTCAGCACCCAAGGGGCATGGCCTGGGTATGTTTCTAGGCTCCAGGAGGGTTTTCTAGGCTTCCAGGAGCGGTCTGTGTAAGGGGCACAGGTGGGCCATGAGCTTGTTGCCTGGGGTTGGGGGTTCCTAAGAGCTCGGTTACAGCTGCAACCTGGTGGCCCATGTATGGGGGTGCGAGGTGGGCCAGCCCATCAGGTGCACAACCATCCCCATCATGCAAGACTGGGCGAGGCCGCCCATGCCCCTGTGCTTTCTGCTCGAGGCTCTCCAGGCACATCTGCTCCCTCATGGCTGGTAAACATTGTGCCTGGGGCCCATCCTACTTTCCACCCAAGTAGGGTGTTGCCCTGAGTCCTAAACTCTTGCCTCAGTCCCCTCACCTGCAGAATGGGTGGTGGAGACTTAGTCTCTGGGTCCATCTGGCAACAGTAAGGTTCTGGAGAGGAGCCTTCTCTCCTCAGCTGGTTCTAGTGCAGGGTGGTGTGGGAACACACAGCTCTTTCCTCTGCCTCCAGCCAGAGCTCACCTTGGCCGTTAACCTCTGCCCGGCTTGCCCACAGCTCCCCACCTGTCCCCTCCATTAATGCTGGTATGTGCGTGCTGGCAGTTGCAGGGGCAGAATGGACAGTGAGCCTAGAGAAGGCAGGGGACGGTGGCACGGCGCTCAGTAGGCCTGTCTCATCCCCTCGGTGCACACACACAGCCCTCACCAGGACAGGGACAGGGGCTGGGCCAGCCTGCACCTGCCCAGTGGGTAGAAGGATGGGGGGCAGAAGCACCCAGGCAACGCCTGTTAGCCCCTGGGAAGGGTCAGCACTATGCAGGCTGATGACCACGGCTCATGTCCACCCACACCCTGACGAGCCCTGGAACACAGGGCAGCTGCAGAGTGTTGTGAGTCTCTGGGGCCCAGAGCATGGATCACCTTTGGCACTTCTTCCACCTTGCCCATCGAGGTGGCCTCAGGGGCCCAAAGCTGGGATGGATGGGCCCAGGGCTTGGCTGTTAGGGGGATGGTCATACCTGAGGCCATTGACCTCAAGAGCACTGGGGACCCACAATAGGGCTATTGAGGGGAGAGGCCAAGCCAGATTGATGGGTTTGGGTGACTATGTGAATGGAGATTCAAACAGGTTTTCAGGACCCCACTGCAAGCACACAGAGGGCTGGAAATTCCCCAGGGAGTCTGTGAAGGGGGCTGCCCGAGCTGACAGAGCTCTGAAGGAGAGGGGCCCAGCTAGGAGACTTTTGATACCAGGGGCCCTAGAAAGGGCCTGTTATCTGCTCTCCTGGGCCAGCAGACTCTGCAGGGTAGCTGGCCCATGCCTGCTTTGCTGTGCCTCATTCGCCAAACCTGCAAGGTTGTCTCCTTTGGAAGCCCTGCTGGCCCTCCCCTTATGCTCTACCCCTGGACCCACTAGGTCATCGGCCACTCTGATGTGGGGGCCCTCTGCGTGCCTCGGGCTGCTGTGAAGGAGAAGAGGGGCTGTAGTGGGAGTGAGCTCCTCATCGTAGGAGGCATGCAAGCTGGGGCCAGAGTCTTTGGCTCACTGAGGGAGCAGGCTGGCCAGGCAGGTGGGATGAGAGGCTTGGGCCAACTGAGCCCCCACCCGGCTTCGGAGGCAGCACTGGCCAAGCAGCGCCCGGGGCCGACAGCAACCATATGTTGGAAGAGGAGCTGTGTGCAGTGCTCCTCGGGCCCCCGGGGCCTGGCCTTCCTGGGCCTGTCACAGCCGATTTTTCCTGCCTGAGTGGCAGGCCGGCCAGCGGGTGGGGGCTGCAGAGCCTCTGCATGGCTCATTTGTCCCCCATCGCTCTCAACACTGGACCTGACACAGGGGGGCGTGGATCCAGGTGTCATCCCCCAGTATATCCCTGCACATCCCACCCAGGCGAGGCTGGGCCCCTGAGAGGAGCCCCAGTGGCTGAGGGCCACCCTCCTGTTCGGTCGTGAGTGGGTGGCCGGAGGTGCACATGGGCTGCGTGGCCCCAGGGCAGGCGGGAAAGGGCCCGGAGCCGTGGCCCTGTCAGTCCAGCGCCCAGAGCTGTGCAGAGGGAGGTGGGAAGCAGAGGCTAATTTGTACACTAAGTGCTTTTGACAGGGATGCTTCACAAGTGAGAACACACCACCACCCTCCCTGGGAAGGCCGCCATAGCCAATGGGTGGGCAGAGGAAGCCTGGGTGAGGGGCTGGGAGGGCCATGGGGACACAAAGGGCCAACCCAACTGGCAGAGACAGGGAAGGGGCCAGGGATGCTGGGAGCGGGGGGCATAAGGAAGAGAAGGGGAGAAGAGCCTAAGGGAGATGTGCCCAGAACCAGAAGTCCCGCAACCAGTCGTGGGGAGCCAAACCCAACAGTGAGGAGGGGGGCTGCCTTCCCCACCTACCTCGCACCCTCCCCCTGCTGTGGTCATTTGCTCTGTCCGCTCCTCACACCTGGCCTGGGGCCCAAGCGCCACCTTGAGATGGCTAAGAGCACGACTTAAGTCGCCCTCGCAGGCGGGCCTGGCTGGCTCCCAGCGTCTTCCCTCCCCACCAGCCGCCTCCCCCTGAACCTGACCCTGGTCAGGCCTCACTTCGGCCCTACTAGTGTCTAACCCTGCCAGCACCACCCTCCACCTCAGTGTCACGACTCAGTCTTGTCTGTAGTGCCCCCTGGGGGCATCTGGCCCCCCTTTCCTTTTCCCCTCCCTGTTAGAACCTCCTCCCCTACAGGCTGGGGTGCACGGGGGCGGGGCGCTGGCTTGGGGTGGTCCCCAGGTTGGCCAGGGGGTGGCCATGCAACCCCCTGCCTCACTGTGATGACCCCTGAGTGGCCTGACACCACAAGGACGTCAGGCACCCATTGAAACACTAGTCTAGGCTGCCCAGAACGCCCCAGGGGTGACTGAGTAGCTCTCTGATGGCTGGAGGGTGGACCTAGCCCGGCCCCTGCCCCACGGGAGAGGGTCCGGCGTGGCTAGCGCAGCCTCTGTGAATCAGGGCGGGCAGTCTTCCGGCGTCGATGCGAGATGTGTTGTGGCAGCTCCCCCGCTGCCCGAGGCCCGCCTGGAGCGAACACTGCTGGTGGCTTTAATTGCTTTCACATTCCATAGGCTGGCCTGTGACAGGCCTCTTACACCCGCCGAGTGCCAGCCTCTACATCCCAGCCCCCCATTCATTTGAGGAGGCACTTAGACGGAGACCAAAAACTACAGACCAGACAGAAAGAGCTGCTGGACACGCCCAGCCTCAGTTGCTACCTGTGAAATGGGGATGGTTACCTCCTGGAATGAACAGGAGAGGACCCAGGGCAAGGCAGGAGCATGTTGTACCCACTGGGGGGAAACTGTTCTCCCTCTGCGGGCCCCACCCCCTGCCCCCACCCCCGCCATGCTCCATCTGCTCCTGTCTGATGACTGATGACTTCAGACAGGCACCCCCAGACACAGACGTCTCCCTGGGAAAAGTCGCAGACATACTATCCTTCTGTCTGAGGCTGAGGCTACGGGGGACCAGCCTGTCAACCACCACAGGGTCTGGGCCCAAGTTTCTGCCCTGCCTGGATGCTTGGCCTTTTCTGGGGTGAAGGCAGCTGTTGAGCAGGGGCCCCCTGAAGGCTGACCTCGGGTACCAGCAAGCTACCCCCACTGTCACCAGGCAGGCCTGGGTTGCCCTCAGCAAGGCTCTACACAGAGAGGGGAGGTAAGGACCCCAGGCCCCATGGCAGGAGTGACGGACAGATGAGGAGGCATCGTTATAAAACAAAACATTTTCATTTGGTCCATCAGAGCCTGAGTCTGGAAATACCCACGGAGAATCATCCTAGAAGGCTGGGAAACGGCTGATAAAATAGTCTCTGTGTCAGAAGAGCTGGCTGTATGTACAGGGTTAAAAATATTCACAGCTCAGAGTACAAGGAAAAAATATAAAGGAGGCCCAAAGGGGAGTGTAGTGCTTCCTGGTGTTTCTCCAGTGGTAAAAAACCCACAAGCCCCACAGGAAGTGAGGGGCGGTGGGCAGGGCTGCCTACTTCCTAGGGGCTGGAGGGCAGCAAGGCCAGGTGGGCCTCCGGAAGTCGGCCTCAGATGTCCACAGGCAGATGCAAGACTTTAAGCAGCCATAGGGGAGGGCAGTTGGGAGACAGCCCAGCCACCTGGGCTTCTGAGGCAGGGGAGGGGCTGGGAGGAGCCACACCCTGCCCCGCAGGCGCCTAGACAAGGCTGGCCAAGGATTTCTGTTGGACCCTGGTCCTCCTGGCAGAGGTCAGGTGGTGCTGAGGACAAACCACCTCACCAAATGGCAGCTTCTGTCCCACAGCCCTGGGGGCATGGCTTCAATCCTGACCAGCGCTCCAGGAATTGCATAGTGTAGCCAGAGGGGGCAGCTAGGACTCTCCCCTCCCCTGGTCCTGAGCCCATGGTCACCAGGCACCTGCCTCCTGGGACACACTGCTGAGACTCCAGAGACCGCTGCTTGCCTTGTGGGAGTGCAGGGGGTGAGAGGATGGGCTCTTGGGGCAAGCTGGGGAGAGAAGGCTCGTGCCCCACAGAGGGCGTGGTCCCTCCTCACCTTGGGGTTCTGGCCTCTGACCCCCCAAAGGGGGTGGTCCCTACCCATCTCAGGGTCCCAGCCTCTGATCCCCACAAAGGGATGGTCCCTGCCTGCTCATCCTGGAGTCCTGGCCTCTGACCCCAAGAGGGGAGAGGTGGTCCCTGCTAACCCTTGCATCCTAGCCCCGGACCTGCCCAGATTTGGTTTTGTAAATGGAGCTCGTGGCTGCCTCACACAGGCAAGGGGAAAGGGGCGACCTCGCCTCAGCCCTGGCAGTCTGAACCCGACCTCGAGGCAGGCTGGTCAGAGGGGCCGTGCAGAGCCCCCTCATGCTAGAAGCGGGTTGGAGGTATTCTGCTTGGCAGCGAGGAGGCCCTGGACAGGAGGGAGGGGCAGGGAAGAAGGTCCAAGGAAAGCTGCAATCGTGGCTGGCAGCTCCCTGGGCGGGGTCCTGAGATTCTGGTTCAAGCGTCCTCTGTTGGGGTCTCCCTCCTAAAGTGCATGTGGGGGGGCAGGCGGGCGTGAGCATGGAGGTCACAATGGCCGGGGCACGTGCAGGCCAGCGACCTCGGGTGTGAGTGGGGGGCTGTGGGTGCCCCTGGAGGACGTCCAGTCGCTGAGGAAGGCCTGGGCTGCCTTGCGGTGTGCCAGGCGGTGGGTGATGGAGAAGCCGGCGTTGCCCTCGAGCTGGGACAGGATCACCAGGACCTGCCTGGGGGAGGGGGCTGGTGAGGGCCGGTGGAGGCCAGGGAGTCAGGGGATCTGGGGCGGTGCCCACCTGTGCAGGGGTGGTACACTGTCCTGGGTGCGCAGGCTGCCGCGCGTGGACACCACATTGAAGCTATCAGAGCAGTCACACTGTACATGCAGGTAGGACTTGGGGTGCCGGTTCTCTACCACCACGATGAGCCCTGCCCAGCCGTGCGTCAGGTAATAGCAGGTCATGCCCTCACGTCCCTGGGTAGAGAAAGGGCAGGTGTGGGCGGGGTGAGGCCTCCTCCCTGCCTCTCCTCTTCCCTGCCCACCTCACCTCATGCCGTTCCCCTCGGCTCTCTGTGAGCAGGATGATGGCGTCCGCCAGTGTGGTTGGCTGGGCCTCCACGGGCTCCACCATGACCAGCCTCGAGCTGTACACAGCCAGCACATGGCCAGGTGGCTCCAGCGAGCAGCGTGGGCTGGAGGCTGTGGAAGGCGTGCGTGAGGGGAGCCTGGGGCGCCATGGTGGGGAAGGTGCGGGGTCAGGTGGGAAGGGCAGCGTTACCCTGTGCAGCAGCTGGGGGGCCCAGCGTGGTGGGGCTCCAGTGGTTGAAGGCACAGCACACCACAGCGTACTCGCCAGGCTCCAGCATCACATCACAGTTGACGAACTTTTTGACAGCTCGCTTGCTGTGAGCCAGCAGGCGGCCCAGGCTCAGGCGGCCACCGCTGCCGAAGGAGGCTCGGAACACCAGGACACACAGGTCCAGGAGGTGGCTGTCTGCTGAGTCTGCACGCCTGCAGCCAGACCCAGGAGGGGTCACAGGCAGCACCTGCTGTCTGTGGCCCCACTGGCCCACAGCTTCATCCTGCCCGCCACTTCCACACATTCCCCAGCTCTGCCCACCCAGCCCAACCAGTGCTCTAGCCCCCCCACCCTCTCCCCCTCAGCTTCCCCCACCTGCTGCCCTCCTGGAAGAGGGCAAACTCCAGGGATGCGCGCTCCAGCACGGTGAGCGCTGTCACCCCCACGGGCCCACTGGCCGAGTTGGGGAAACAGCCCTGCACCCGCACCTCCTGCCAGTCTGAGTGCACTTTGCAGATGTCCACAGAGTCAAAGTACCTGAGCAATGAGAGGACAGCTCCACTGAGCAGCTCCCACCCCAGCTCCAGACACAGAAGCCACACTCATCAGGAGTTCAGGCACCTCCCTAAGCCCCTTCCCCGAGCCAATCTCTGCCTCTCTGTGCCCTGAGCCTTCCTTGGGACCAGTATCCTGGAAGCCCTGGTCCTGGCTGTTGCCCATGGACACCACCAGGGGGGCCCCAGGCGCCAACGACGACCTAGAGAAGACAGAGTCCTGAGGGCAGAACCCAGCTTCTCCCCTACCGCAGCCGCCCCCCCCCACACCCTCGTCTGAGGTCTGTAGAGGGACAGGCCAGGCTTCCCAAGTGGACACACTGTGGGTCACAGCAAGGGGGCACCTAAGGCATCAAGTCAGGTGGGCCAAATGAAGGTGGCTAAAGCATGGGGTGGCTGTGAGGTAGACGCCAGACGCCCACTTCACGCAAAGTTCAGGTACCTGATGAAGTCACTGTACTCCATCCAGAAGACACCTTCACTGCTGCCGTGTGGCATGAGCTCACCACGCAGGTGCCCTGGCCAGTGTGGCCACTCATCTGACCAGCTGCCGTTCCAGGAGAAGCGGCCCCATGGGTTCCGGAGGCGCAGGAGCCTGCGGACCACGGGGCTGAGGGCCACAGCTTCCACCACACATCCACACGCCCTGGCTCCCCATGGCCAGCCCAGCCCCTACCTGGAGCCCTGGACATCACGGACATCCAGGATGGAGTAGGCATGGCGGGGGCGCAAGCCCAGGCTCTCGTAGGCAGCATCGTCCACCTTCATGTTGCCCCCACCACAAGAAGCGCCCATGAGGAACCTGTGCAGGCAGAGGGGCCTGACTGACCGGGGAGGCTCACTGACTAGGGGGCCTTTAACAATGGGTGCCCCTCAGTAACCAGGGGCCTCGGGCACTGAGGAGGGCTCACTCACCAGAGGACCCCTGTTGGCCCTGAGGTGGGGTGGTTCTTCCCTGACTGTGGGGGAGTGCAGACCCCGGGGACCCAAAAGAGACACAGAGAACTCAGGAAGTGTTGGTCTGCTCCCTGCAAAGTGGCCCAAGAGCTCAGAGGGTTTGGGTTTGGGGCTGAGGGTCGGGAAGGCCTGGGTCCTGCACGCTCAGGGCTATGGCTCCCTAAGGGGATGGGGCAGCAGTAATGCCCGGTGTCAGCTGAGAGGAGGGGGTCTCTGCACCAACGAGCCCTCCCTCTCAGGCTTAGGGTTTTGGACGCCCCCTTCAGACATGCTGGCCAATTCAAGCCAGGTCTCAGAAGGCAGCCCATTCCCACCAGGTGTCTCCGTGGGGCTTGCTCCACAGGGCTCCAAGCAGGTGCTAATGGTCATCACAGGCCCAGGTCAGGATGCGGCCTTCCATGTGTGGGCTGATCAGCTGTCATTCTGCCTGCTGCCCTGGCCTGGGCAGGTGGGAACACCAGCCAGCAGTGGGAGATGACAGGGCTGCAAACAGGCCTCCTAACTGGTCAGCCCACACTGGAAACATCTTGTGAAACACAGGGTGCGGGTCAGAGGACGCTTGCCCCTGCATCTCCCACCACGCCAGGCCCGGGCCTGGCTGTCCCCTCGCCTATCTCTCCTCTCCTCCCAAAGCTGCTGACCGCCAGAGCGCCCGCCCCTCTTACCCAGCCTCCTTAGAACTCAGCATTTTGGCCCAGATGAGGTCAGTGTCAACGGGTTCCTCGCGGGGGTTAGTGGAGCTGACCTGCAGCGCCAGGCTCTCACAGGGGGCACCGGTGAGTGTGGCCAGGCCTTCGATGGCGCGCCCTGCCTGGAGGGCAAAGTAGGAGCCGTGCAGCTTGGCCAGCGCCTTCTCGATGAGGGCCACCCACAGCTGCTTCCGCTGGGCCTGCAGGGAGGGGCTGGAGTCATGAGGCCCACCAGTGCCCACCCCTCACTCACCCCATGCCCACCCACCCAGCCACCTGTGAGAAGAGGAGGAAGCCGGCTTCATCGCAGGGCAGCATGTCATCCACCAGCACCGTCGTCCACGTGCCATCCTTGCAGAGCCGCACCTGGTAGGCGCCCTCCGTGCACAGACTGCGTGTGACCATCACCCGCTCAACCAGGTCGGGCCGCTCAGCCAGCACAGCCAGAGCACTCAGAAACCTGTGCAGAGCCGGAGGCCTCACTGGTGAGCACGACCAGACCGTTCCGCCCCCCAGCCTGAGTGGGTGCCCCAAACTCACCAGCAGTTGCCCAGCAGCCCCTGCAGGATGTCTGAGGGTCGGAGAGTGTGGAATACAGACCAGGAGGTGCTGTGGTCCCTGAAGACAGAGCAGTTGATCTCATGAGGCCTCAGCCATTGTTTAACACGCTGCTGGACGCTGTCACCTGCAGGGAAGCCCACAGACTCGGGCCCAGGTGGGAAGCTGTCATCCACGAAGTTCACATTGTTCTGCAGAGACCACAGCCACACACACACTCAGGCTTAGCTGGGTGGCCCTGGGCCCAGGATGCACCTTGCTCCACCTGTCAGCCCAGGACAACACCCTGGAAATGCTGCCTGAGTCCCAGAAGAAAGGGGGTAGGTATGTGCACAGCTACCCTGACCCATGTGGAGAACTCAGCTGGGGCGTTATGTGGCCCATTCTACCCCCATGTGGGCATGGGGGACCACAGCCAACCAGGATGCTGCAGGCTGGCAATGGGTCAATGGGGGTATTGTGCCCCAAGAAAATGGCAAAGCCCCCAGCCTGGAGGCTGCAGGGGTGGTGGGTACAGAAAACCTGGGCAGCTCCCCGCATAGCACATGGCCCACCACGCCAAAGGCTGCAGGAAGAGAGGTGAGGGGACATAGCTGGGATGGGGAAGGCAGGATGCACGACTGGATGGGCTGTCAGGGTGGGCTGCTGGCAGTGACGGGGCAGTAGCCCCTCCAGTTGACCTGAGGGTGACGCTGTCCTGGGCTCAGGCCCCCCAGAGCTCCTTGGGCAAGAGAGCATAAAGGCGTGTCCCCACCCCGAGCTTTGGCTGGGTCTCAACAGCTGGAGGAAGCACCAAGCTTGCTTGTTGGCATGAAGCCTCCATCTGTGTCCCTACCTCCCTGTGGCTTTGATTCTATGGAAAATCACACCTGGGTGGGTCAGGACCACAGACTACGGGGTTGTATACCTTTGTGAGCAAAGACAAAGGGGGCAAGATGTGGATAGTGGGGGTCAGTCACACTCAGAGGAGGGGTGCTTCGGTGCCAGCCTCAGAGCCTGGGGAAGAGAATGCTGCCTCTCTTGCCACTGGTTCTTCCCTCTCCTTGGCTGGAGAAGGGACAGCAGGGAAGGACAAAAGATGCGGAGTGAGGCCCATGGGAAAGGGAGCATCAGCCCTGGTGCGTGGACGACTATCCTGAGGGGACTCACCTCCCGGCAGAAGGCCACGATGTTCTCCCAGAGAGCCTTGGCCTCACCCTCATCTGTCTGCCGCCGCTTCTCCACGTGCATACTCTCCCTGCGCCTCAGGGGCGCGGCACCCCGGCGCTGGGCCTCCAGGAGCTGGGGTGTGTGGCAGACGGCACAGTGCTTAGCCCGTGGCACATTGAGCAGTGTGCAGGCCGGGCAGGCCCACTGACCTAGGCGTTCGGGTGGTGCCTCGGGAAAGAGGCGGCTGGCCTTGTGGACGGTGCAGAGGCCAGGCTTGTCCGTGCTGCAGTCTGGGCAGCGAGGAGGCGGCTCGCTGTGCTCCTGGAAGCCATGCAGCTTGGAGCAGCCACACATGGTGCACCTGGGGGCTGCTGTGGGGTTCTTGAGTGTGCACTTGGCACATGACCAGGTGGTGAAGTCGGGGCTGGAGGGGCTCGCTGGAGTGTAGCGCACAGTATCGCCGGCCAGGTCAATGACATCACTGCCCGGAGCAGTGCCACAGGCTTCACACAGGCTTGCGGGGCCGGGTGCGGAGCAGGAGCTGCACCGGCGCAGCACAGTGCCGCCCTCAGCCACCTCCTCCTCCAGAGCACTAAGTCGCTTGACTGAAAGCAGCTCTGCCAAGCGGGAGGCCCCAGCAGAAGTCCGCCCTGGGACCTGAGGGGGACCCTTGGAGCCAGCAGCCAGGGAGGGCTGGGTGGCCTCAGGCACCGGTGGCTGCAGCTGGGGGGGTACCTCACGGCGGCTACGGGGCACGGGGTTGTTCTGCAGGGTGGGTGAGAAGGGGCTGAAGGGCGGCATCCGGGGTGGCTCCTGGTCGGTGGCAGCAGAGGGTGGGTCAGCTTCAGTGCTTTCCCCAGGTTGGGGCGGGGCAGGTGTGATGTGGAAGCCAGCGGGGGCCACAACTTCAGGGACCACGAGGGCCTCGGGAGGAATCCTGGGCAGTGAGAGTTTCCGGGGGCCCCCGCAGGCAGAGCAGGAACTGGCCATGGGTGTGTTGTGCAATGTGCAGCGAGGGCAGGCCCAGCCGCTCCCAGGTTCTGCTGACCCCTCCTCCTCCTCCTCCTCCTGCTTCTCCTCCTCCTCAGGCTGCCCCCCAACTGGCTCCATGGCCACTAGTCCCTCCGTCTGCGCTGGACCCGCCTCCTCCTTGCAGCTGCCCTTGGGCTCCACCAGGATGGTGGGCGGCTTGGGTAGGACCCCGTTGATGACTGGCAGCAGGGAGGTGCCGGGCACAGGCTCTGGGGCAAAGCCACACACCTCACAGGCCTCCTTGCCCAGGAAGTTCCGGAATGTGCATCGGGCGCAAGGCCATTTCTGCTCCTCAACGCTGAGTCGCAGGATCTGGTCGAGATCGGGCTTGTGCCGGGGAGCCTCACAAATGGAGCACTGGCGCTGGCCGGCCGGGTTCAGGAAGGTGCAGCGCGCACAAGACCACTCTCCAACCGTGGCCATGGACCCAGGCGAGTGTGTGTGGCTGCAAGGGATGGCCCCGATCAGTGCAGGCCCAGAGGAGGGGAGCCCAAGTCTCTGCCTGGGATGAGGGGAATCAAGCCAGCAGGATCTGTGTCCTTCTGGGCTGTGACAGATGTCAGGCTCAAGAAGGCAGCCTGTGAGGGGCTTGAGGACTCTGAGGAGTAAGGGGGACGCCAAAGCCTCCAAGGGATCCTCAGACCCTTTCTGGAGGGGTGGACCTGTGGGGGTACAGGGAGGGGGCTGAGCCACACCATCTTAGTGGCCACAGGGCTCTGGTGTGAAGGTAGTCTTTGGTAAGTCACAGGAAAGAATGTGAGTGAACGTCCTCAACAGGATAAAGGGCATCTACAAAACACTTGCAGCTAACATCATGACCTGTGGTGAAAGGTTGAATGCTTTCCCCCCAGATCAGGACCTCAGCAATGCTAGTCAAACCTTGTGCTGGAGTTCTAACCAGAGCAATTAGGCAAGAAAGAGATAAAAAGACATCTAATTGGAAAGGCAAAAGTAAAACTATCTCCATTTGCAGATGACATAATCCTATACAAACCCTCAAGAATCTACAAAAAAACCTAGTAGAGCTAAGGAATTCAGCATGAGATCAACACCCACACAAAATCAGCTGTGTTTCTGTGCCAGCAATGAACAATCTGAAAAGGAACTTAAAAAAAAATACCACTTAAAATAACACCCAAAATAATAAAATACCTAGGAATAAATTTGAGGACGTGAAAGACTTGTACTCTGACAGTTATAAAAATTGCTGAAAGAAATTAAAGAAGACCTAAATAAGCGGAAAAACATCCCACATTCATGGATTAAAAAACAATATAGTTATGATGACAATCCTACCCAAAGTGATTCAATAAAATCACTATCAAAATCCCTCTGGCCCCTTTTTCTTTTTGGGCAAGAATAGAAAAAGCTGATTCTAAAATTCTTATCAAATTACAAAACCCCCCGAAGCAGTAAAAACAACCTTGAAAAAGAAACAGAAAGTCAAGACAGCGTGGTACTGGCATAAGGACAGACTATATGTCTATACTATACGGCCTTTTTAAAAAAGATTTTATCTCTTTTTAGAAAGAAAGGGTCTCTCTAAAAGAGAAAGAGAGGGAGAGAAACATCAACTGGTTGCCTCTCGTACAGGCCCCGACCAGGGAATGGACCCACAGCCCAGGCAGGCGCCCCGACCAGGAGGCGAGCCAGCGACCTTTTGTTTTGTGGGACGACACCCAACCAACCGAGCTACATCAGTCAGGGCAGACTATATGGTCTTTTTTGTTTGTTTTTAAGAGTTTATTTATTTATTTTTAGAGAAAGGGGAAGGGAGGGAGGAAGGGAGAGAAACATCAATGTGTGCTTGCCTCTCACATGCCCCCTACTAGGGAACTGGCTCGTAACCCAGGCCTGTGCCCTGACTGGGAACCCAACCAGCGACCCTTTGGTTCACAGGCTGGCACTCAGTCCACTGAGCCACATCAGCCAGGGCTATATGGTCTTTATATGACCAATGGAATAGAATGGAGAGTCCAGAAATAAATCCTCAAATATACAGTCAAGTGATTTTTGACAAGGGTGCCAAGGCCATTCAATGTGGAAAGGACAGTCTTTTTAACAAATGGTGCTGGGATAATTAGGTATAAACACAAAAGAATGAAGTTGGGTCCTGACTCCACATTGCATTAAAAAATTAACTGAAAATGGATTAATGACCTAAATGTAGGAACAAAAACTGCAGGACTGTTAGAAGAAAACATAGGTAAATTTTCATCACCTTGGATATTTAGCACTGGATTATTTAATATGACACCAAAAGCACGGGCAAAAAAAAAAAAAAAAAGAAAAGACTTCATCAAAAAGAGTTAAAAGACACCTTGCAGAAAGGGAGAAAATATTTGGAAACTGTAATGTCTGGTAAGGGTCTTATATCCAAAATATGTAAAGAACCCTTAAAACTAAACAGCAAAAGGAAAAAAAACCAATATTTTAAAAATACACAAAGGACCAGAATAGACATTCCTACAAAAGAGATACACAAATGGCCAATGACTACATGAAAATATACTCATCACTAGTTATTAGGGAAATGGAAATCAAAACCTGCCATGAGATATCATTTCACTAGGATGGCCAGAATCAAACCTGCGGGTGTTAATAAGTATTGGTGAAACTGTGGAGAAACTAGAGCCCTTCCCTACACTGCTGGTGGGAATGGAAAATAATAGCACAGGTGCTCTGGAAAACCTATGCAGCCTCAAAAAGTTAAACTGACCAACCATAAGAGGTAGCAATTTCACCCCTAAGAACTGAAAAGTGGTATTCTAACAAACATACATGTTCATAGCAGATCTATTCACAATAGTCAAAGGTGGAAACAACCCAAATGTTCACCAATGAATACATGGATAGGCCACAAGAAAGAACGAAATTCTGACACATGCGACAACATGGATGAACCTTGAAAACATGCTAAGTGAGAGATACCAGACACAAAAGACCACATGTTGTATGATTCCATTTATATGAAACGTCCAAGATAGGCAAATCCATAGAAGCAGAAAGAGGACTGGTGTTTCCAGGGGCTGGAGTGCAATCAATTGTATGATGGGCATGAGGTTTTTTTCTGGGGCAATGAAAATGTTTTGGAACTACGCAGAAGTGATGGATGCACATTGTGAATGTACTACTACTGCACGGTTCACTTTGAAACGATTAGTTTTATGTTGCCTGACTTTTATCACACACAAAAAAGTCTGAGTACATGAGAGGAGGGCAAGGGCACACACAGTCCTCTCTCTCTGCCGTGGGTGGTGTCAATCCTGACTCAGAGCCTCCCGATGGGTCCTCCAGCCTAGCTGGCTCTCTGCTTCTGGGATTTCCAGGGATCCCCTGGGCAGGGGCCAATTCTGACATGTGCTGAGGGCTACAGATATCTGATCATGAAATACAACCTAGCAGTGTTCGTGGCCACCTGAGTACACTCCTGCCTAGGGGAGGGTACAGCCCTTCTGTCCAAGGCCCTTGGACTGACCAACTCCTGCACCTCAGCAGCCCCTCTTGATGGCCCAGCCCCTGGGCATAGCCTGAACTCTGTTGGGACTGAGCACCCTCTACTCACCTGCTCACCGGGACCACTGCAGACTCAGTTCTGCCTGGCAGAGGTTCAAGGAGGCGGCTCAGCGTTCTGAAGCAGCACAAACCCTCTTCCTCTTATAGCTCACACCCCGAGGTGGTGCGGGTCACGGTAGGCCCATGGGAGGAGGGTGGGGGCAGGCTGCCCAGCTCGGGGAGGGTGAGGGATGGTAGATGAAGATATGATATCCAAGATCAAAGGAGTGGGTGAAGGGGCCCGAAACCAGCCTGTTCTGAGCAGCCTGTGCCAAAGTGCTAGCCACATCCAGACCTCGGAGATCCTGTGTGCAATAGGGCATTGCCTTCCTGGGATGGATGGAGACCGGCTGGAGGGAAGGCACCTGCATATGGCTGCAGGGCTGACAACGCTCAGGGTGGGCTCTACCCCACCTAGATTTCCTATCTGACGAGGCCTCTGGCTGTGCACTGGGGGGTAGGCGGGCTGCTGCCAGATACACCCAGGATGGGTCTACACCTTAGGGCATGACAGACCCCACTGGGAGAGCCAGGCACCACAGGCCAGGGGTGGCCAGAGGACACGGTACTCCGAAAAGCTGCCAGGCCTGAGGCACGCATGGTAGTGTCGTAGGCACGTGGAGGGCAAAACGGGAAGGACTGAAGGCCAGGGAGGCGAGAGCCAGGAGACCCGCACTTGGCTCCAGGACCTTTCTGGCGGTGCAGGGTGGGTAGGGCATCCACCTCCCACCCTCCCAGGGGTCCCCTTGCACAGCCTGCCCTGCAGGCTGCTTCGAGCGCCGGAATGCAGCCTCCTTTGCTGGTGGGTTCTTGGGTGCTTGGCCTGCCCACCTTCCCCAGGGCTGGGCCTCTGCTTCACTCATGTGCAGAAGAAAGGCGCTCAGGCCTACAGGAGGGCAGGTGGGATACTCCCGAAGGGTTCCTCCCATCCAGTATGGGTCTCGTGTCTGGGCTAAGGGCAAGGCTGGCCCATTAACCTGCCTCTGAAGGGCTAATCTGGGCTCAAGGGGGTGTTCATACACCACACCACACACTCTCTTACATTGCTGCTCTGGGAGAAAGATCAATTGTTCTTTACAACAAGGCACAAAACTCGTGAATCTAATGCTGTCGATATTCACGCCAAACCCTTTTGGTTCAGGAAGAATAAAAAACCTTGCCCCTTCAATAACAAACAAACAAAAAATCCACCCTGGGCAACACGACTGTTTCCCAAGGCCCAGGCCAAACTCTGTGAAGCTGCCTTCCTGTGTGGACCGACCCTGGGGTGAGCGAGTGGGCACCCAGCACCAGCATAGCAGGAATGGCTAAGGGTCAGCTCAGCTTTAACCTAAGCTTCTGTGTTATGTAAATCCTAAGAAATCTGCCTGGACACTACTGGGACCCCTAGCTTCCCACCATTCCCCATTGGAGAAGGGCCCATGGTCCAAGTGTGGGGTATAGCGTACACCCACAGACATGCACACACAGGTCGGGTCCTAGGCAGCTTCCACCACAACCCCAGGATCAGAGCACGGTCACACTCACGCTGGGTACCCCACCTCGCCTGGGAGGTCTCCAGAGGGAAGACTTAGGCTCTTGCCCCATCAGGAAAGGAGGGCCCAGGACCATCTTAGGACCCACCTACATTGGGCTCCAGGCCCCTGCTGGCCCCAGGCACACTGAGCAAGGAGAGCCTTGCAAATGCTGGAGGGGAGGTAGGGAGCAAGGAACCTAAGTTCTATTCACCTGTGTTACCCACCAGCTTGCCAGTCCCTGCCTTGGGCTAGCCGCACACAAGGCAAGGTGTCTGCAGGTCCTGGCCAGCGTCTGGGGACAGGGCAGGTTTCAGAGCTGCCCTGGTAGACAAGGAGAATCAGGAAGATTCTGTCAGGAGTTCAGAAACATTTAAATGAAAACTACATGAACATCGAATTTAGCCCTGGGGAACCAGAGGTGCGCTGGATGGCGGCAGCAGCCCCTCTGGCTGGAACGAGGCTCTGGGGGAGGCAGTGGTGGCACAGCTACAGGACGGGCACGGCGCTCCCTCACTGACCCCAGCGACCCGCACCTTATAGCCTGCGCCCGTCTCAGTGCCACCGGGTGGTGAGAAGTGGCTCAGGGGTCAGTGACAGGTGAGCAGAGGAACCCTGAGCAGGGGAGTAGCGGCTCTGGTCTCCAAAACGCCAGGCCCAGCACCCTTAATGGCCCAGGAGACGCTCAGCGAAGCCTAGAGACCTGAAATCCCTGGAGGGTCTAAAGGTGAGGCCAGACCGCCAAGCAAAGCTTAGAAGGGAAAGACGGGACTCTGGAGTCATACCAGACCCTCAACAGAAAATGTTCCCAAGTTCCTGGACACTCACTCCAGAGCCTGTCACATATGCTCCAGGGCACAGAAGCAGTCACCTCTGGGGAGAAAGTTGGCTTCTCGTGGAAAACAACCTGAGTTACTCCTTAAAACAGAAAGACCAAGTCAAATGGAAAACTGAGGCAATCGTCCAGAAAAATTCAACAAGTACTTGCTCTAACTTCATTATCTGAAGGTCACCAACACTCAGTTCTAATTCAAAATGGAGGATTTATGGACCTGCCCTTGGGGCTCACTGTGAAGTCCCTGCTCCGTGCCCAGGACACACGTGTTCACAGGGACCTGGTGGTGCAGCCCCATCCTGGGCGACGGCCTTATACCTCCCCAGGAAAAGTGAAAGTAGTAAGTGAGGGCCTTGGTCAAGCCACCGGACCTGAGGCTGGGCTCCTTGGCACATCATGCCAGGAGATCCAGATGTCATGCCTAGCTATGGTGGCCCAACCCTGAACCCCCTGCTGGTTCCCAACTCTGCTGGGGGCCTCCCCTAGAGGTCACCCTCAGCCAGCCTTGGGTCACTCTCGTTGTGTCCATGTCCCCAGGGACGGCCCAAAGCTTGTAGCAGCCAATGCCCACACCAATCTTTATTGACTAAGATGAGTAGCTCCTGGGACATCAAAGATCCTGCTCCCAGCCTGGCAGTGAGTTATAGGAGATGTGGCCATGCCCGGCTCTCTTGGCTTCATTACTGCAATGGGCTGCTCCCAGCCTAGAAGGCTGCATGCGGATGGGGAGGCAGGGCCAGCTGTGCTGCTGGCTTCTGCATATGCCCTTCCAGTCCCTGACGTCCATCAGAGCTCCGGAGGGGTGTCCTGTGCACACACCCAGCTGCCCCTTCAGACTGTGGCAGAAGTACGCCTGCGGGGAGGGTATCTTGTCAGGGTCGGTGTACCATGCAGCTATGATGGGGCGGGCCACCTGCCTCCTGCACCCTTCCTGCTATCTGTTGTGCCCACCTCTTCTGCCATTATTTGTCATCTCTAGTCTGGATGCCTGTGAATTCCTCAAGGTCATTAGCACCATTTCTTCCCGATCTGACTTTGCCCGCTGCTCCCAGTGGAAGATAGGAACCGCCTTAAAGCCTAGGCCAGACTAATGGAGCCATGAAAGGAGCTGCCTGGATGCACAGCCCCACGGGAGAGGCATGGTGGGAACTGGGAGGAGAAATGGCGAGGACAAGTCGCCAGGCGCTCGGCTTAACGGTGCGAATCAAGATCCAAAGCCTAACACATACACGTGTCCCTCACAGCACTCACAAGTCTTCACGGGAAGCTGCCTGGCAAACCGCACAGGGTCCACAGCTAGGCTGCTGCTCAGCTGGGGGGGTCCAGCCTCCTTCCCTGGGATTCAGTAATTCTACTCCTAGCAATCTATTCTACGGAAATAAATGAAAATAAAAAGATGAGTGTGGAGAGATGGAAATCTGAATAGATGCTTAATATCAACAACCATCAGGGACGTGCAAATCAAACTACCACCAGACACTACTTCACATCCACAAGAAGGGCCAGGATGTGGAGAAACTAGAGCCATCCCCTGCCTTGCTGGTGCGAATGCAAAGTGATGTAGCTACTTTGGAAAACGATCTAGTAGTTTCTTAGAAAGTTAAATATAAATTTGCAATAAACTTCAGAAATTCCTTTCCAGATATCTACCTGAAAGAAATGGAAACGTGTCCACCCAAAAACGTACACACAAATATGCAGAGAAGCATGAAACACAAAAACCAAGGAGAAACAACCGAAATGCCCATCAACTGAGAAATGGATAAACAAATATGGTCTATCCGAAAAAGGAATATTATAGTCATATAAAGAATGAAGCATTAACAAATGCTGTAACATGGACAGACCGGGAAAACATGCTCCGTGAAATAAGCCAGACATAGAAGAACGCACACTATAGGATTCTGCTTGTGAAATTTCTAGAAAAGGCAACTCTATGGACAGGAAACTGGGTGTTTGGAGATAGGGAGGGATTGCTAACAGGCAGGATCTTTTGGGGGCATGGAGATGCTAAAAAACTGTATTGTTGTGATGGCTGTACAACTCTATAAATGGACTGAAACCGCTGAACTGTATACTTGTGAGGGGTAAATCCGAGAGCACATAAGTTGTATCTCAGTAAAGCTGGGATATAGAAATGTTCACTAGTATGTCATCTATACAGTAACAAGGGAATATTCTCTAACAGTTCACTAATACCTCATTCCCAACTTCACTGGCTCCTGCCACTGTCCTGCCTCCTGGTGCACATCCCTCTGGACCTCAAGCTCTGACTCTTGCCCACTAGGGTATCTTATAAGACCTCCGAGACTCTCCGACCCAACAATGCTAAACCCTCCAGCACCCTCCCAGAAGCCTCCTCTGCTAGGGACTCAGGCTACATACAGCTCCAAAGGCATCCCAGGAGGCTGGGCCCACTCCTGCATGCCCATTACAACCCTGCCTGGTAGGAGAGCCCAGCATGTGCTTTTGAGAGAGGGAAGATGTCTGTTACCTAGTGAACCAAGGCCTGGGCACCCCAAGAGAGCAGGGGCTACCCACAATTCTGCCCCAAGGTCTGCGGACACGGAGTGTATGATGAGCACTGGGCACCCTTCCCTACAGCAAGGCCACAGGGCAGGTGAAAGCAGGGGTGTTAGTGCCAATGTGGGTTGTTGCCGCTTCACCTGCTCTCCCACCAGTCATTCCACCACCTCTGAGGTGAGGCTCTCCAGGGGACCCAATGGATAGCTTGGGCTGAGAAACCGGGGCCGAGCCTGGCCATGGCCGGAGGAAGCTGGCATGTGATGGTCTGCCCCTGCGGCCTCGTAACCTCCCACCGCCCGGCAGGCAGCCATGTTAGCGCACGGTGCCACACAGACAGGCGCCCAAGCAGTGTCCCCAAAATCCTGTGGGAAGCAAGCCAGCATTCTCAGCACATGCCAGCACCACTCAGGCTTGGGGCTGGCAGACTCCCCACTTGCAAGGCTAAAGGCTTGAGAAGCTGCCTCACCACAAGCACCAGGCGGAGACAAAGCCCAGCCCAAAAAAGCAGGCTGGTCTTCCAGACCTTCTTCGCCAAGCACGGAGCAACGCCAGAGTCTCTCAGGTCTCATGCCATCGAGGGGAAGTGAGTTGCCAGAGGACCCTATGACACGGGGACCCCACTTCTCTGCAAGCCCCTTTGCCAAAGAGGGGCACTCTGACAGCAGCACTCCCACCCCTTGGGGCCCGCCCATCTTTCTTACCTTCGGGCCTCAGGGCGTGGGGTCTGGTGCTGCCGGGTGACCAGGGCACCACCCCAGACAGGTCCCCCAGGGCCGCTCCTACAACAGCCGGCTGCTGCCGGGGGCCCTGGGTAGGGCGGCCCCGTGGGGAAGCCATGGTCCGACTCAGTCTCGGCGGCCAGCGAGGAAGCGGAGCTCCCCATGGCCCCCGTTACGGTGGCCACACTGAGAGCCGGGCCTGGTCACATGTGGCCAGAGCATGGAGGGAGGTGAGCTCCCACACAGGAGACAGGGTTGCCGGGCTAGTCAAAGTCACACAACAAAAATAAACAGAGAGAATAAAGAGAAAGAGAAGAAACAGCATGATTCACAGGAACAAAAGCCCCAGGAGCTCTGGAGGGTTCCCCAGTGCAAGCAGTCTTGAGGCAGGGACAGCCATGGAGCAGGGAGTGGGGGCCTGCGCCTGACCCAGCAGCAGGCATCCTGCAGCAACCCCCCCGGTACCTCCACAGGGGAGGTCCCCACAGGGCCGAGGGCCATGCAGTGACAGAACCGTGCCCCCTTCTCTGCTCTTGAAAACCCACATCAGCCCATCAGCTGCCCACAGGGGAAGGATGATGGTGTCACCAGGTACTGGTCTTCAAAGACAGTTATCTTCAGTGAGAAGAGGAATAACACAATTTTGCTTTATTGTGGAGGGAAGAATTAAGGGTATAGTTAACCAAAGGAAAAGGAAAAACAAGGGAAGTGAGCAAAGTGGAGCTGGAGCTGGTACAGCCCTGCAAAGCTTGGCAAAGACCTGCACAATGCTGCCTACCCACACACCCTTCTGAAGCCTTCCTGAGGAGCCTCCCCGACCCAGAGAAACTTCAGGGGCCCAAGAGGAGATGGGTGGCCTGGGAGGCACCCAGGAGGCTGGCCAGGCCTCCAGTGGGAGACCATCTGCACTCCAGGGGGAGTCCCTATCTCCACTGGCCATGGGGAGGAATGAAACACCGCCCAAGAGCATCTACCCTGAGACGGAGGTGGCGCACTTCATTTCGAATAAGCCAAGTCTCAGTCAGGTTAGGGAAGACGCCTGCCCAGCCTCCTCTCGCCCACCCAGCCAGGCTCTGGGTCAAGGCGGGCATCTGCTTGGCTTTCCAGCCCCGCATCCCTGGGCCCACTGGATACCCTTCTCCCAGCTCCCAATTAAGCCCTGTGGCAATGGGGGCCAGCGGCTAGAGTGGAATGAGGGATGTGTCCTTGCATCACAGGCAGCCTGGTCGAGGCTTAAGGTACACGGGTGGGGCCGTGCAGGGCTCCCTACATGAGAGCCAGTAGCAGCATACACACAGCTTTGGAAACGAGCAAGAGCGAAGGGCCATGGGATATGGGACAGTAAAAGTCTGGGACCCCTTCCCCACAAGAGCTTTGGTCAGATGAGCCAAGAGCCCCTGTAGCAATAATGTTTGCTGGATGCCTTTTCTCCAGTAGACATGGGTGGGACAAAGAAACACCAGCCCTGATTGGCCTGCTGGTCCCACAAGTCACCTGACACTAAGGCCTCTGCCACGGAGCACAGTCAGAGCTGAGCAGTAGGGCAGAGACCCTGTGGTGGCCAGTAAAGCTGACACCATCACCACCTGGCCCCTAAAAGATTGTCTGCCAGCTCCGGCCTCCAGGGAGACGGTCCAGTAGGAGCATCACGTGAGCCACAGGGTTCGTTTCCGATCCACCAACAGTCACGTAAGAATACGACAGACAAGTTATGGGAATCCCAATATTGTACCTCACATAATCTAACACACCCAGAATGTTACCATGTCAGTATGAGATCAGGTAGAACCATGTGGGAGCCACGTGACGCCATCTTGAGTCAAAGTCTTTGGACTCTACTGTGGTTCATGCTCATCTCCATCTCCGTGTGGACGAGCCACTCTCTGGGGTCAGCAGCCACACATGTTGATAGTTTCACTAACAGAAAGTGCTCAAGAAGGCACAACAGAAGGCCTAGGTGTGTGCAGCTGTGGGTGCCCAGTGCACACGCACACCCTCCAGTGGTTTCACATAGCCTGGGTCACTAGAGACACCTGCCTATCCCATGATTACATGTCAGACATCAGAATGAGAATGGCTCCCCAAACTTCTAAACCTCACTCCACACAAGTCCCTTATGGGGAAAGGGCTCAGGGCCCCTCTCGAAGCTAAATCTTGTACAGGGGAATGGCATGGAGGGAGGAGCAGGTGAGGACAGTTGAGGGCTTGAGTGGGAACCATGCTCAGTGGAGGTGCCCATGGAGCAGAACTGCTCGTGACTGGGTCCAGGGCTGGTCTGTCCCAGAAAAAGAGACCTGCCTGTTTCCACCAGGAGTAGAGGACTGGGCAGCAGGGGGAAGCCTGGCCCCAGAACCCCAACACCAGGGGTCGGGGACAGGGTACACAGTACAATTTGCAGCCAGGTCAAGGCCAGCACCTAGCCCATGCCCCCGGTGATGCCACCACATGCATCTGACACAAGTAGATCCAAAGGGAAACCCAACCCCAGTGCAGAGTGAGGACATGGCCCTGGGCCTCCCAGGGGAGGCAGGGGCAGCACAGGCCCTTGCTAGGGACTCAAAAGAAGGAACAGAGAAGAGAGGTGGCTTGGAAGGGCAGACGACCCCAGAGAGTAGCTAGCTCCAGAAGGGCCTGTCTGGGGATTTCCAGGGATGACAGCACTTCAACACCCCCACACCCCATCTTGGCCCAGGACTGAGACCCATGAAGGATCACCCTGGCTGGGCAAGGTGCTTGGTCAGGCCGCCAAGCACAGCGTGGACTCTGCTGCCCCAAGCTAGCCTGGGGGTCCCACCTGCAGGGGGTGACTGTGGGAAGCTCTGCCAGGGCACGGGGGGTAGGGGTGTGTGTGGTCAATCCGCGGCTCCATCCTGGGATGGGAGCTTTTATAAATACTGCCATCCAGGTACTGTCCTTTGAGATGGGACCCCAGGGTGACGAGTCTTGTACAGCCTTCTTCTCCTGCAGGACCTGCTGCTCCTCTCACTCCAGGTGAGACCTTCTGCCAGCCCTACAAGAGCCTAGATCCATTCATTTATTCCTTTGCACATCCTTGAATTCATTCACCAAACACCCACCACAGCCCTGCTATGTCCCAGGCCCCATTTTAGGCACTAGATGTGGCAACACTCAAGAACCCTCTCACTTTTTGGTTGCTGTGTCTTAAGGAGACTATCATGTACAACATGTCTCCAGGCAGAAGCCTGAGAGCAGATGATGGCAGCACCAGCCTCCTGGATTGTGCAAAAGGGCAGGGTTCCAAGACATGGCACCTCAGGATGAGCAGCTGCCCCACAGCCCCATAGCCCCTGCCGGTTCCTCCTGCCCTCGTTTGGGAACCACTGCCCTAGATCTAAATGGGGCAGTGACCTAGATCTGGCCTTGGAGGCACAAAGGTGGGGCCGCCGCCGCCGCCACCGCCCCCAGAGGACAAGGTGTTTGCTACTGTCTGTCAGCCCTGGTGTGAGGCATGTGCCGGCGTGGCACTGAGAACCGCCGGGGACCATGCCTGAAGAGTGATGAACACACAAAAGGCCAGATGAGGAAGGCCGTCTTCATAGGACTGGGCATGGGGTGCATCTTTCTCAGTCATGGCAGGTTGGATCCCAGTAGCGACACCCCACCATCCCTCACCTCAGCTCACTTGCTCCTCCTCACTGGCCTGTGGGCCCTTCAGCGTGTGACAGGAAAGGGGACGTTTCCCTGTGCGTGGTGGGTGAGTTGCTCCCGCTAAGTGAGTTGGCCTGGGCCAGGGATATGGGTGAGCAGACACCAGAAGCCTGCAGCCGCGGAGGCCATGGAGGGGGAAGTGCGGGCCACACCCAGATCCCAATGGGGAAGAGATTGGGTATTTATGCCTGGTGTCCCAATTCTCACTCTTGGGGCTCCCTGTGAGTCTGTGCCCCCCACATTAGCCTGTGTGACACAAGTCCTGTTGAAGCTTATCAAGGTCCATTGTCCCATCCTGTAATAATGGTCTTTTACCAGCTGTAGCAACCTGACAGACCAATGAAATCAGCCTCAGGATGGGGACCCAGGAAAGGGACAGGGGGAGAGTGGCCCACCCAGAGGACACCAAGCTTTTCTAGAGCATTGTTTCCTGTGCCCAGAATACTCATGGCCACCCACCACACCGCAGATCATACCCACCAGACGTGAAGCCGAGAGCCTGTCAGTAGGTCCCCCACTGCCTGAGGAAGGCTGTCACCTGGGTGGGAATGCCGAGGACGTGAAGCTCCTGCCTGAGTGAGAGAAACCTCTCCCGTCCCTACCGGAGAACAGAAACCAGGCTGGGACCCCACCCTGCAGAGAGCCCCACCCCACGGAGGGCCTAGACTTTGACCTTCCAGCCTGGGAGTGGCAGGACAGCACACTCCTGTTGCCACCTTCCTCAAAGGGTCAGCAGCTCACCCACATCAACAGCTCCCTAGAGCTGGGAGGACAATAGGGCAGAGTCAGGTGATGGGCCCTTAGGGACATAACACGCATCTAGGGGAAACACCAAAGGGACCACAGACAGGGCCCAGCAAAATCTGTCTGCCTTGTGGTGCAGCCTGGAATGATAGGACCGTGACCCCAAGCCTCAGATGCACAACGCTGGCACGGCCACGAGAACCAGGCTTTGTCGAGGCAGAGGCCTAGGCGGTAGATCTCAGGAGGGTTCTGCGAATCAAGGGTTCTAAAGATAGGCCCTGGTACCCTGCAGAGAGAGGGGGTGCCCACACTGCATTCCAACCCCACCACTCCACCACTGGTCCCATAGCCCTAATTAACCCACAGCGCTTGGGAAGGGACTCGCCCCCGACTGTGGAGATGCCTGAGCTCCCTCCCTTCTGTGCCTGTCAGTAGCACAGAGAGTTTGCCAATAGCACGGCCCCCCAGAGGACATGCCTCCTCTCCTGGAAGGTTCCAGACTCTGGCCTTGGAACAGCAGACCCAGTCCCCAGGCTCAGTGGTCCAAGCTCAGTGACTATCTGTGGCTCTTGTGCTGTGGCCATGCCCCCAGGCCAGGACCACATGGAAGGCTGCCCGACTGCCGCTCACAAGAGCCTGGACAAGGAATTACCCTCAATCGCTCTACGAATACTCCTGTGGGAGGTGGCCCAGAGACTACATTCCTTTTGAAGCTACATCTGTCCCTCGCCCAGAAGAGGCTCGAAGTCCCAGGGGACTGACATGGCTCAGCCACTCCTCACTGCCTAGTCGAAGCCCCTGACTATCCCTGGGCCAACAAGGG